CCTTGTCCTCCAGCACCCCACATCCCCCCGCTCTGCCAACAGCAGGCCCGCGGGGAAAGGGATCCCCCTGTGGTGTCTCCACTCGGTCCCCCGGGCCGCAGCCTGGAAGGACAAGAAGAAAATACGGAGAAGGGCTCAGAGGAGTGGGTATCCGGGAGGGACTCTTGGGGGTGTCCAGAAGGACCGCACTCCTCCAAGGCCCCACGTCTTACGGGTCTGGGAGGCCGCATAGGACGCCCTAGAAGAGTGAGTCGCAAGCTGTTGCCACGCCCGCGTGGACCGGATTTGAATCCGGAGCGGAGTTCCCGGGAGCGGAGGCTGAGCGGTGTCCCTGCTCCCCCAGCATGGGGAAGTGCGGGCTGCGGCTGGGTGGGGCCGGGGCGGGGTTGCCCAGTTGCCCAGGTCGCTTCCGCCTAGGCGAGCGCGAGAGGGGACTTGGCCAGCGACCGCACGGCCCGGCGGGGGGCCGGGGGCGCCGGGCGGGGCTGCATTCTAGGCCCGTTAGCTCAGCGGTCCCAAGGCTCCCGCGGCTGACTCATCCGACGGGGCTCCCCCGCAGCCGCAGCTCAGACGCGAGCTCCCAACCTCCGCAGGGACCGCGGCACGCACGACACCCGCGTATCATACCTCTCCACACACGCCGACGGCGCACACGCCCGGACCTCGCCACGCCAGTGCACGCGCACTTCACACCACGCGCCTCACTCAGGAAACCGCCCCCTGCGCTCAGCAGCCTGAGTCACACCCGCACCCTGGACACACGACCCAGTTCACACCCGCTCTCCTGTTCACACCCGCGCTCCACGCACACGTGCATCCCTGCGTGCATCCGCACTCCTGTTCACACCCATGCATCCCTATTTGCATGCACACGCGTGTTCACACACACACCCCGCTCATACAGCCCAGTTCACACCCGCACTCCTTTTCACACCCACACTCCACACAAGCACCGCTGCTCACGCACACACTCACTCACACCCGCAGCTGCCCGCTGGGAGCGGGCGGTGTCGATGGGGCCGCCCCCTTTCCAGGCGGCGCAAACAAGCGGCTCCTTCTCCCCGCCTGGCCGAAGAAAGGCCGTTTGTCCGGCCGTCTGT